AACAGCCGAAGGTTGAGTCGCCACCAAGTTCGCCGAAGAATAAGGCGCCCAAGGTTGTGATATCCGAGGGAAGCAGTGGAGAGGTGAAACCGAAAGTCGATGAACCAAAGAGGGTTGCTGAGGATAAGCCTCAGGAGCAAACAGTAGTAGTGGGCTTAGATATTTCACTCAAGTGGTCGGAAGTTTCGTAATATTATCAGGGAACAACCGAGAGCAGCCCGTTTGGTCGAAGCACGCTTGCCCGAAGTTCACTTAGGTCCTCCTTCAGGGTAGGCAGGCTCCATCGCCTCATCACGCATGTTGGCTAGGTGACTATGCAGTATCGCTCTGGTGTTGTTCTCCTCAGCGACCAGGATTAAGAGGTCTTAAGGATCTGGCAAAGGAACAGAAGGAGCTAGAGAAGGAAGGAGATGGACTCCTTCACTAGCTAGCGTCATCGGAACGATATCGGGTTGATGATAACAGTGTATAGCCGTTCTCCTTGTGCATACTACACTACTGTTCATGTTGATGTTACTGATGTTGCTGGACTCAAAAATGGTTGTGTTCTTCATACGTTGCTAGCGATGGAGCGCTAGTGTTCGTGGGAACCGCCTTCTGTTATTTGGCTAGCCAATACAGTCTAATCGCTCTACAGCATATGTTCTCGAGTACATCCAACTTTACTTGATGTTATCGATGTGAAAATGAACCATTGGTCGCAAACAAAATTTTCAAAATCATTTGCACCTCTAGTATCAGCTCATTGATGATTCATTGATCATGATATCTTGGTGCCCGCTTATCATTTTCTTGATCGTATTGGTTGTCATTTTCAGAAGTTGTGGATGCGATTGAGGTAGGTTCTTTCTGCTGTTCTTCATGCTTCTTCCTGATCTTTTCCGTGAAGGTCCTTCATTGTTTGTTCGTTGTTTCACTCGTTTGTTGACCTAGTAGCCCTTCATTGAAGGGCTAGGTCGACAAACGAGTGAGCGGTTCGTGTAGTGGTCGATTAGAATTCAGTTATCATTTAGTTAATGGGGACTTTCCTCAACCCGCCCACCCGCATCCTGTTGGTTTGGCAGACATCAACAGTCGAGTGAGAGTCATCAGCCAGGATCTCTGGCCCAGAAAGCACCGAGTTGACTCTCTGAGGCAGAGAAGTACGTAATCTCGCTGCTACCTATGCGGAGCGAAGTATCCACCGTTGAAAATTTCGGAAAGTTTCTCGACAGAATTTAGGAGTTGAAACTTTCGAATCTCACAAATTCTGTAGATCTCACAGAAAGACTATGTTGCCCCGTAGCACGATTGCTGTTCAACTCAACTCAATTACAACAAGTTTGGCAAATTCATTCAAGAGAATGGTGGTAGACAAGACGAAGACGAGTCAAACAGACAACTTAGCACTTAGTGATAGTGGTGTCAAGGAGGAAACCGATCTTGATATGAACGGAATCGGGACTGATGATGGTGGCATCAATTTTCTTGATGTGGAACTGTTGCATCAATTTGGCAAGCATAGGATCGTAGTTAGAGAACTCGATATCATCACCATCAACGGTGTAATCAGCGCCAGAAGACATACCCATCACATTGATGGTAGCGCGGCCATTAGAGGCAAAGTCAACAGTGAAACTCTGGCCCATCATGCTACCGCAGTAATGACCACCGAATGCAGGAGAAGCAGCAGTAGTAGTGGTCGCTTTAGTGGTCGTCGTAGTCGTAGTGGTTGCTCTAGTTGTGGTAGTAGTCGTAGTGGTGGCTTTAGGAGTGGTGGCAGTAGTCGTAGTGGTCGCTCTAGTTGTGGTAGCAGTAGTCGTAGTTGTCACTCTAGTTGTGGTAGCAGTAGTCGTAGTGATAGGACCGACGGTGTTAGAGGTGGTCTCCACAGGGGTGGTTGTCACGGCCTGAGCGGTAGTCGTTGGAGCAGCCGTGGTATTAACCTCAGTAGCGGTAGTCGCAATAGAAGCACTAGTAGTAGACGCTGACTTGGTTGCGGGAACCGCTGTGGTGAGAGGAGATTCAGTGGGCTCAGCGGTGGTCACATGACCCATGGAACAGGGTACGGCCTCGCCGACGCAGCTAACATCACCAGGCTGGAAGCAATAGGAGCCGTCAGTTCTTCTGACGAGACCGAAGCAAATAGAAGGTGTCATCCAACCCTTGCAGTATGAACCATACTTGGACCCGCGGCATCCATCGACCTCCGAGCACATCTGTGAGCAAGCATCCTCAGTGGCAGTGGCCACAGCAACGGCACTGGCAACAACTACAGCAGTAGAAACAGCAAAACGCATTGGGAAAATTTGAGATCAATTTCGAAAAACTGCAAATGCTCGAGGAGGTATATGAGTGATGCACTATAAACTAACCTCACATTACATACAGTTATCACAACCTGAATTCACTTTGATCCGAATTGATAGTCTATAGAGACTACTAGCTTTAGCTGTACTATACCTAAAGATACTGTCCCAGGCGTTGTGCTGTAGTTATCACTAAATTAGTCATGGTCTGTCGGCCGTCTGCAGATCGTTGAATTGGTAATGAGATTTCAAATCGTGGTCATCCTTTTGAGCGAGCACCAAACTGTCTCATCATAGCATCCATTTCGCTAGGCTTAATCCTCTGTTCTTCCACCAGCTAATGACAGCAACACGTGAAGCCATCGATGGTCGAGAGGATGATGCCTCGTCAATGCAGAGTGTCCTGCAGGATCAGACCCTCCATCTCATGAAAGTGCTGAAGGATCAAAACTTGACCATAGAAGAGGCTAGGTTGGCACTATTGCTGGTGGAGGAGTTTACTGATAGGGTCGGGTGTGAGCCTCCTGAAGATGAGGAGGTCTATATCCAGTATGAGCTGCTGCTGGCATCTAGTTCGGTCGCGTACAACGTGGCGGTCCTTAGATATTGGATTGACCACTACCAGAATAAAAGAGCGCCCATGAAGGAGGAGCCGGAGTGTAGAGTGCCAGAACGAATTGACAGAAGGACGGGACTTGATCTTGCGTATGGTCTGAAGCGGAAGGATGTCGTTAAGATAGTTTATGGTGTCTTCGCACTACGGAGGGAGGTAAGGAAAGCTCTCGTGCCCTCAAACCGAGTGTTGGAACATGTGTTCAGTTGAGCTGAGTAGCTCCCTTACACCCAAGTAAGGTTTCCAATAATTTGCCGAGAATTTCCTTATTGTCCTAAACACCTGTAGCTGACCTTGTTCGCATTGTCCTAGACTGCTCATAGCCTTCAGCTTGGCGATGATCAGGTCGACTGGTTGGGCCGCCTCCCCCTCCTATCACCGAAACCCTCCCGGAGTATGCAGATGGATGCCGGCCCAAGCGTTACCCCACCGACCGTTGAGCCTGTCCTTAAGCCGATACTAACTGAGGGGAGCTTGACAGCAGCAGCTTTCGGAGGGTCTACAATAGAAGGTCTGAACTCCGTAGGGCTAAATAGTTTTGCGAAGTCGGAGTCCTCAGGAGTTTCAAGGGCGTTGGATCAGTACACTAGGATCATCGACCTCTACATCGCGTGTGAGGGCATTCCTGAGAGGCTCGGCAACGACTGCATTTTGCCTCGATCGAAGCACCAGTGCTTTTTTGAAGGGGAGTCGAAGCTCATTCCAGTCGAGGTGGTCGATTTCTTCAATGCTGTCAATGACAAAACCAAGTGGGGTCTTAAAGGGTGAGCAAGGCGATCATCAAGCATTGGCTAATCGGGTCTTCAGAGTTGAGGAGAGGGAGTTGTCGGACTACCTCTATGACTTCACTAACGGCAACGGTGACGTGGCCTTTCCAGTAGTGGAGGCCTTCGAGAAGCAGCATGGTTACGTCAGTCTGGACGTCTCCTCTCTGTTCCGTTTCTGGGCTGGCCTGACTCCCTACCAGAAATCTTCTTATCGCCTCAGAGGATTGAGTCGGCTGCAGGCATTAGATGTCATAACGAGGATAGCGGAGCGGAGGATTGTGGAAAGAAGGGAGGCTATGGAACTGGAAAAACAGGCGGAGCGAAACCGTCTTGAGAGGTGTGGAGTTCCTGAGGTCTTTATTCAATGACAGCGAACATATATTTCTCCAACATCGCAACGAAGCTCATTGCAATTTTAGAGGAACATATATTTGCTTTCCTGAGCTAAGCGCAGGAGTTTGCTGACTAGTTATAGGAGTTTATATGAAAATTCGGGAAGAAGTGTCCAGAAAACCAACGAGAATTTCCCAGATGTTCATCATGTCAGCAGCACATGTAGTTCACTCTGTGTATATTTTCTCACACTGCTTTATTGTAGGTCCAGACTGAGATACCTCAACACCTTGCCGACCCCGCTATACGAGCTGGCCCGTCCCAAAGGGGCCTCGCTCGGTGTTGAAGCTGATAAGACTGCATTCCGTCTCTTCCAACTACTCCGGAAGATGGGCCCACACGAGTCTGCAGTAGGGGATGCTCTCGAGGAGTATAAGCAAGCACTGGGGCCTTACCATCTCCATGACTACTTCCAGTTGTTGCTCAAGCAAGCCCGAAAGCTCCGGTGAGGACTCATCTCCAACGACTATCTGAATGGTCTTTTGTATAGGCTTATATCCACCATCGACTCTCCTAGTGGGCGCCTGCCTTTGACCCGGAGTGCCGATGGGGACCAGGAGCGGCTGGTGGGGCTACATCGAGCACTCGAGCAATATGCTGCACTGAAACGGAGGGTGTATACTCTAGTGAACCACGCTGTGTCGAGGAGCCGAGACCTCTACCAAGTCTCGACCGACCGCTTTCTTGAAGGACTATTTGTGGACCTATGCCACGCCTTAGGGATAGAACGGGTGTGTGATCTCTTCGGGTGTCCTCAACTGGACCCGTCTATGGCTGTACGGGCGAGCGATGTTGATGTTAATGTGCGGCATGACGGTCTAGTCTGGGTCGATCTGAAAAGGAGTATGACCATAGTGGAAGTGAAGGTGGTTGGCGCCGTGTTTGATGTTATGACGGAGGATAAGATAATCGGGCGAAGCGATGCTGAGGGAAGAGCAAGGCTTCTAGCTTACGAGAGGTCATTGATTTTGAGGCCGATTAAGACCGTGGGGGACGGATTTTCGTGGCGCAGTGAAGGAGTGAAAGTGTTGAGGGTCCGGAAGATGGCTCCGCCTCAGCTGGGTCAATATTGTAGGGATCTCCTCATGAAACGGGTATGGCCATTGCCGCATCGACGCTGTTGTGCTGTAACTGTTATTGTTAGATACAATCCAACAGAAGATGGGCCCTAAGCCGACAGGGGTTGGACTTCTGGGCCCCGCTGGGCCAGCAGTCTATTGGTAGATATAGCTTCAACAATAAGATCCACATGAGTTCCGAGACTAGTCGAGCTGGTCAGTACGA